ATGAAAGAAAAGGATCGGGAGAAAACAACCTTTATTACGAGGTTTGGAACCTTTGAGTTCACAGTCATGCCATTTGACCTATGCAACGCTTCTGCAACTTTTCAAAGATTAATGAATACAGTTTTAAGAGATATCCTTTGGCAAAACGTAGTAGTATATGTAGATGATATTAATATTGGATCTAAAATGTTTGATGAACATCTTCTTCACCTGGAATAAGATTTTCTACGTCTGCGACAATCTGAATTAAAACTAAGTCCAGAAAAATGCTTTTTCTTTGAGAAGAAACTCTTTGTTCTAGGATACGTAATTGGATGTGAAGGTATACAAACAGATCCTGAAAAAGTTGCTGCAATTAAAGGATTTCCAATCCCAAAGGACTTAACTCAATTGAGAGGATTTATTGCACTTGCCTCATATTATAGGAAATTTATAAAAGGATTCTCTACCATCATTGAACCTTTGAATAGACTTCTCAAAAAGAATATTTCCTATCGTTAGACGACTGATCAACAAAAGGCATTTGAAAACTTAAAGGATTGCTTAACTTCTCCTCCAATCTTAGCATATCCCGACCTTGACAAACCATATATTTTATATACTGATGCTTCTACTTATGCTCTTGAAGCTATTCTATCTCAAAAAGAAGATGATAAAAAGGAACGAGTAATAGCTTATGCTAGTAAAACTCTTAACAAACATGAATAAAACTATTCGATTACTGAATTGGAATGTCTTACTGTAATTTAGTCTATCAAATACTTTCATCATTACTTACACAGACGAAAATTTGTTGTTGTAACTGACCACGCTGCTTTAGTATATCTTAAAAATATGAAAAACCCAGTTGGCAAACTTAGACGTTGGCTTATGACTTTAAACGAATATAACATGGAAATACTTAATCACCCAGGAAAATCACATACAAATGTAGATACATTAAGTCGAATACAATACTAAGAACTTATTTATTTTTCACAACTAATGGGACAAAAACTTAACGAACACCACTTTTGATAATGGTTTTTTGGTTTTAACAGAAATAATGGATTCAAATATATACTTTGGTTTAATTCAATACTTAACGGAACTTTCTATGCCAACACATTTGATAATAAACAACAAGCAGCAATGAAATGTAAAGCACGATATTTTATTGTAATTAATGGTCAACTATATAAGCGAAACAAACAGGAATCACAACGACCTCTTAAAGTAGTTCGCAAACATGAAGTTAATGATATCCTATACAATTTACATGAGGATCCTTTAGCAAGACACTTTGCCCTTGAAGAAACTTATAGAAGAGTGAAAATCAGATATTACTGGTCCCAAATGTATGAGGACGTATGACAATATATTCAAACATGTGATGCCTGTTAGTGACGAGGCAAAAATAAGCAAATGGAACCTCTACATCCCATTAAAGTTAGACAACCCTTTGATCGAATTGGAATAGACATTGTTGAACCTTTGCCAAAAACTAAAAGGGGAAACAAATATATAGTTGTTGTAACTGAATATTTAACAAAGTGGCCAGAAGCCAGAACAATACCAAATGCAAAAGTAAAGTCAGTTATTTCTTCTTTTATGAAGATATCATTTGTAGACATGGTTGCCCAAAGGAACTTCTTACTGATCGAGGAACGCATTTTGTAAATGAAATGCTAAATTCCTTATGCGATGAACTAGGAGTAAAACACAAACTATCAACTGCGTACCACTCACAAATCAATAGACTTGTAGAATGTTTCAATTAAATATTATGTGAAATGTTAGCCAAATTTGCAAATGATAATAATGATAACTGGAATACATTTATTCCCTCAGCCCTTTTTGCGTACAGAACTAAACAACATGAAACAACACGATATAAACCTTTCTATTTAATCTATGGAAGAAACGTTATATTGCCAATCAAATTTCAGGTGGAAACACAAAATGTTAAATCATCATCTAATGACGTACAAAATGATTTACTACAGAGAATACAACGAATAACTAGACGAATGAAAAATGACATCAAGGAAACACAAAATAGGATAACAGTAGCACAGCAAAACAAAAGGAACGCCATGATAGAAATCTGCAAGCTGATTACAAATTTGAAGTAGGACAATTAGTATTAAAGTATGAAACTAAGATTAAAGGAAAAAGAAAATTAGACGATCGTTGGACTGGACCTTATTACATCTATGCAGATTTAGGAAACGGAGTTTACAAATTAAGAACGATGAACAGAAAAATTTTGAAAGTACCAATTAATGGCGTACGGCTGAAACCTTATCACCAGCGACCTCTACCTGAACTAATGGTGATAATTGAATGATAAAATTAAATATAAAAAGCCATTAAAAAACTCTTTCTCACAAGTTGGTGAAAAATGAATACTTTCGACATCTTTCTAACAAATAATACTCCTTACCAACTCCTTTTGGACGACCTTAAGCAAACTGAATCAGTTGATTTATTACTATATCCTCTATCTTATACTGACGAAATGGACATAAAAGAAAAATTTCACTCTATTACAAGAGCAATGTTTAGAGCTAAACGAATTTATAATCATATTTCTTTCTTGATTAATGCTTTCTACTTAGACCAATTTTTTGAAACTTTGGAGAATGTGACTACACAAGTAACTTATATTAAGGAAATAACTCGACATTACTATTTGGCCTCAGTTCGTATTTATTATCTTTATGAAGTATTAGGAACATTCCAAATCGCTAAGTCACGAAACTTGACTCTCAATCTAATCTTAAGGATATCTAAAAGTCAATTTAACAAATTAGTTGACAAAGCTTTGAATATTTTTACGCGGATGCAAAATCTCAAAGGAGAGTGATATTACACCTAAAAATGATGTGCAAAAATGATCTACAAGGATGAAAGGATGATCAATTTCATGTAATACTAAAAAGGATTTGCAGTACTGTAACTAAATTAGATAATTAAATGATTTACATGTCTTAT